ATTGAAACCTATCCTTTCCTGCTCGTTCAAACGGCTTGAAATGCTTAGAACGAAGACGCAAAGTAAGAACACAGTAATGTTTCACTCCCCGCGGTAGAATCCATAGACGGTCTCTGAGCCCAACTGTGCCACTGAGCACGCTCTTCAATTCAGATTTCAAAAGCTCTCCAAGTCTTACTTTGCGATATCTTGATTTTGGTTTGCGTTCGCTTCTCAGCTTGGACATAGGACTTCTGTTTTTCATTCCTAAATGAAGTAGTCAAACAGCGGCAGCCGGCGATGCAAAGCTTTTCAGAGAATGCGTCGGTACCTTGTGGAAACGGATCTGATAAGTGGCGTGACCGCAACAAGGCCATTTCGGAGCAGGCAGGAGCAAGGCAGTTGCGTTAGCTACAAGTTGATTGGTCGTGAGGGTTTGCTCAAGTCATGGGAATTGCGAAATACTTGCTCGTGCGGATTGAAGGAGCGATCAGGGCCAGATGGGCTTGAAGCGATGGCTCATCTGTTGGAGGGTATACGACAAAAATTGGTGGAAATCGACTGACACGAGCGATATGATGCAGTCCTGTTGCTGACTTGCTTCAGCAACTGGAGGAAAATTTGCCTGGCGCCTCATCAAACCGTTCCCGCTTGACGCATTCCTCACTTGCAGCGAACAAGACTGTGTGAAGTCGTGCTAGTCGTACATTCCTACTCCGTTCCTTCCTAAGCTCACACCATTTCAGTTTTGAGTTATCAGTTAAGAGGCTGGGTCATGCAACTACCGCGTAACTTGTAGCTCGGTGACTAATTACAGTACAGTACAGAAGACGATAGAAATACCAACCTCTCCTGTCAGTGCTTCCCGATTCTTTGCTTCCTTCCTTGCTCCTTCTTCCGGAACCTTGCAACACCCTGCGCTTTCTTTCATCACTCAACGTCCTGCTTTTTTCTAGTGATTCTTTGCTCTGATCGACACTAAAAAACATTCATGAGACGTTCTGGGGAGCTGTGAGAACATGGGCGCTCACATCGGTGGTGGTGGAGGAAGAGTTTGCAGAAGCACTTTTGGTATTATGTCCTCGTAGTGGTGCTCAGTTTCATTGTCTAAACCACCACCTTGCCCAGGCTTCATATTTGTAGGCATAAGGTTTGGTGGTGGTGGCGGCGGTGGCGGCCGCGGTGGAGGCGGTAGTGGTGGTGGGGGCGGCTGTGGAGGCACAGGTGGATATGGGTATGCGCCCCTGTTTCCATAATTTATGCCATTCTGAAATAAAGATTTGGTCATACTGGGCATAACTCAAAAGAGAGAATTGCTAGAGGTCGACATCGCTCACATCCATTGCTGTCAGGCCAATCAAATACAAAAATGAACCCTACTCATTCCGCAAATCAAACATAGCACTTTTGATAACGGTAGAGTCGAGATTCTTACCGACCCTAACATAGATGAAGTCATGAATGGAACGGTCGGTATTGGATGTTCTAGGATATTAGGAATGGAGTCCTGAGCTCAATGCACTTTTAATTGTTCCGTTCGTCCTTACTGATGTTGAAACTGTCTTTTGCCGTCTCTGATTCCTCGGAGAAAAGCAGAAAAGCCTTGAAGCGCTCCTTCCTATGCCGATAATTGCAGAGTACCCATGCGGAAAAGTGTGAAGCGCTGAGGCGGACAACAACAGCTTTGCTTTCCTGCCACTCCTTTGCTGGTTGTTGTCATTCCTGCACCCTTCATGGCATTCTTATGAAGCAGCAAACTAACGCAGAATCCCCCTCCCTTCCCGATTTCGCTCCTGTGGCACTAGCAAACAGGTAGCCCTGGGTTGTTACTGATCCTCTTGAGGTTTCACCGGCCTAGCAATGCGATAGCCCTGTTCAGGAGCCACCGTCGGTAGTTTCACCGTAGATATTGAAAAGGCCATTTCGTGCACACAGACAGCAGCTACTCTCAAGAACCTCGGATTTCTACTCCGTTTTGCAAAAGCAGGATAGTTCACCATTACCACAAATCGTAATTATTGCACTAATTCAGGCGAGAAGATTGTGGCTAAGTTGTAGGGCTCCCTTGAAGTAATAATCCGCTGAATTGTAGCTGTAAATGAACTGAAATATGGCTCACGCAGAATCAGTATTCTGATCGGATTACTCATAAAGCTTGAAGTTAGAGACGCAGATAAAGGGTCCAAATCTTCTTGTTGTCCTCGTATTTGCAGTACCATCCATAAGAATTAGTGAGAGCATCGGAAAGCAGGCCAGCTGGCCTCTCAAACGACCGCACTGCTAACATTGACCCGTTCACATCGATAAGAAATCACCCCGCCCACTCCGGTTTCCCCTACTCTCACGGGCACGTGTTTATTGCACAACCGTGTGAAATCTCTAGCACATAAAAGGGTTTTGAAGTCTCTTTTTTTCAAATGATGCTTTTTTAACAATTATTTTTGCACTAGTTCTTGGATATTATGTGTCGACGAGGTAATTAGGTGACAATTAGATTTCTCTGGTTACCAGTGGTTCTGTTGAGTTTTGTAGTCTCAAGCCGGGCAGGTCCCGCTACTGGGTTGATTTTTAGGAAATGCAACACCCCCGATTCCCTCCTCTGATACGACCCCCTCCCACCCTCCCCACCAGAAAATTTTCTAGTTTTTTTTCCCAAAATTCTGCTATCTGGGGGGGGGGAGTTCCTGTATCTCTCAGTGATCGGTTCTGGTGAGAGATTTGATTACCTTTTAGTCGAATTACCCTTCATTTCGATTTTTTTTTCTTCGAAAAAAATGTTGACATAAATCCACACGTGATTCCATAATCCTCCAAGAACTGAGAGAAGTTCCCCGCAGAATAGTGCTTCCACATGCTTGACAAAAAAAAGTTTGCAGCCATACCAAACTGCGAGGTACCATCAGTCATCTGCTCTTGAACGAACTTTGCTCAGTTTTTATCTAACGTGCTTCGATGATAACTTCCGACGGCGCAGTTCGGCGACGGGGGGGGGCATTTACACTTTCACTGCTTCACTACTTCCGGTTTACAAGTCTCACTCTGGTGAAACTTGTGAACTCTTGTGAAGCTGGAGCAAGCTCGTCTAGCCACCATGGTAAAACGTGTCAACTCAAGAAAAGGCTATCTAGATGGGTCGACACATCGATGGGAAGCAAAATGCCCCCCCCCCCCCCGTCGCCGAACTGCGCCACTTTCGACTATTATTATGAACTTGCATTTGTGTTCTTGACGTTTTCTTCAGAGTTGTGCTAAGCTTCCGACCAATTACTTCGATTCAGGAGAAAAATCCTTTTCTTGAATTTTGCTCAGGTATGTTATTCCTGGTGCGGCTCTTCAGTGCAATTCCATTCATTTCTTGTCTCAACGTCCTAATTTGGAATCCAACAGTCGGTCAAAGTCACGTACGGTTTCTCTGTATCATTGCTGATATTTTAGCCGAAGCCGGGCATAATGTGGTTGGTCTTTAGTTTTTTGTTTTCTCCATTATTTCTTTAATCAATAGTCTAAAGTTTTGGAAGCCTAGGTTGGGCGATCTTAGTCAGAGGAATAGTTATAGACAGTCGTCTCTCCACTAATGGATCTCGATGTTCGCGTTGATGAAGGCAATCCGGCAGTTTTTTATTTGTCGTATCAATCGAAGTATATGAGAAGGAATGTCGAAGACGACTACTCGAAAATGGAGTGAGGAAATCTTCTTGTAATTTTGTTCAGGATATCTGCTTATGATTTCCAGTCTCAAAGATTCTTCACTTTGGGACACTCCAACAGACGAAGGACGATCGGTGTACATGCAGGATATCGCCTGTTTCCATGGGTTGCGTTAAGAATGATGTATGCGAGGTAATGTTTAAACAGTTTTTGTTAGTAATAATCTGGCTGTCCAATGAGAATTACTCATTTCAAATGAAGAATGTGGCCCCGAGGTAGCGCCCGGCTTCTTTGATAGTTTTCCTTAACTTTTGAATGAGCCTACCTCGTCACAGCATGTACCTCTGAGGGGAGCTTACACGGAGCAGAATCCTAGAACTGCTGTGCCGGAAAGCGCACTAGCTTGGACAATCTGACACTCTTTTTCTGAAAGACACCGGGAACTTTTCAGGAATATGAACTGATGGACACCGAGTGATGCTCCTCTTGCATCCGTGCAATGGGCCATCGCCTCATTTAAAGTGCAACCTATGAAGCATCAACCAAGGCGAAGTTCTGGACCCTTCAGCTTTGACTGGAAAATGGTCTCTTGTGGGGTGGGCGAAGACAGAGCGCTTCTGCAGGACCTCCCGAAGGAATCACACAGTAAAGACGGTTCCATCAATGGTTGCAAGAGTCATGTCATGTTGATAGTGATTGGCGCTTGTTTGAAGAAGATTGTCGATCACTACACTCTCGTTCTGTAATTTTAGCTTCATATCAAGTATACCCGTTCTAAACGTCAAAATGTTGCTTCTCCCATGTCATCACCTGCTTTCACTCCATTTCTGAAAAATCTCGCATTTGGAGGAGAATAAGGAGAGAGCGCTTCTCTCAGCCAGACACATGCAACTCTATCCCTGCTTCAGCCCCGGAGAGGAGGGTTGCATCTGTCTTGCTGAAAGAAGCGCACAGTTTGTCAGACGGAGAGGAGAATGACATCTTGCTGGTCTTTATAAACTTGTATTTAAAAATCTTCGTGGGTAGTTCTGTAGAGAGATTCATAGATTGCCCAATCTTTTTTTCAGGACTTCTCGAAGACAAAGAATTCCTAAACAAGCTAAGCAACTCCCAGTACGATGTTGCTTTGCATGAGGTTTACGAGCCCTACTCTGCAGCAATTTTTGAGGTGAATTGATACGGTCCTGCCATTATTATTTGTTCTATTAGCTTTTGAACGTATGTTCAGTTTTGCACGAATAACACCCATGTAAAGGACGGGCATTAGGGTCAGCGCTCTCCCCTCACGATCAGTAGAAGGGTTGAGATTAGCTGTAGACCAAATTTTAATTTGAGCTTGACGGTGGGTGTCACCCTCAGTGCCATATTCAAAGCGAAATCGTTCTGTCATTTCGGTTGTTCGTGGTCTTTGCCGTGTGCGTGGAGGATGAGTGCGCAGCTGCGATAGAGTGCTACTTTCTGCGAAACTGCTCGGGAACGGAGGATAGTATACTCCGCCCACGCTTGAGCATAACCAGCTGGGCACCTATCCATAGTTAATCCCGCTAGTTGTCTGCGCTTTCTCGCTTCTGACCGGTGGGAACTCAGTATTGATGCAAGCGCTGCACCTTGATGCTAGCGTTGGCAAACTATGGAGACCGCACCTGGTGATCACTACCCTACATCACGTTTTTGTAGTCTTTCAAACAGCGAAAGTGGCTTAAGAATGCAATTTAAGCGCAAGGTTGCGCCCCACTGCAGGCCGTGTACCCAATCGCCTCGCACAAGGACCCTCCTTGTAGATAAGTGAACACAAGGTACAGCAATGTGATGTGTGAACTGGTGGTGCCAGTACGATCCCCCCCCTCTCGTGGGAGGGTGTTGGTACGACTCCTCCCTTTTCCCAGCTCCTAACTACCAATTTCCCCATTTTCCACTTTTTCGCCCAGAGATTTTATAACGACCAGGGGGAGGGAAGGGGGGGGGGAGTTAATAGTACACATAAAACAGGGAAAACCACGCGAAAAGTCAACAACCGGGAAAAATCCCAAGGCGACAAATATCTCTCAAAGCAACATACGACCCCCCAGCTCAAAACCGCGACTCTCCCTATGGGTTTCACACAACGATGCCTGTACCTTGAGTGCACAGTTTGCCCTTAACAAGCCGTTTGGTTACAGTTGTAAGATAACTGTGATTCCGAATCGAGTGGCCTAAAAAGCAGTTCTGCGCAAGATTCTCACCATCACATGAAAGAGGTCCACAAAAAATGAGTGGAATGAAGTTTATTTAATCTCTACTTCGAATCAGCCGTGTTGCTTTGATTCCTTTGTGCCTTCACTTGTTAGGTGGAACTATTTATTAACGGCCTAACGTTTCGGCCAGATCGTCGTCCTCGGAGGCCAAGTCCACCGCGATAGGAGCGGAAGAAGCCGCCAGTCTCAGTTGTTATGTCTAAAAATGTTATTAGTTCTAAAATACTACTAACAACTGACTGGGCGGCTACTTCCGCTCCTACCGCGGTGGACTTGGCCTCCGAGGACGACGATCTGGTCGAAACGTTAGGCCGTTAATAAATAGTCACCTAACACCATCAAGGCCACAAAAGAATTCAAACACAATTGACAACGATCCGAGTTCTTATGAGAGAGAATTGCGAGATTATAGCAACAACGAATCGCCTGTGTTGCATCATAATGCTTTGGCACTTCTTATTCAGTTGATTGGAGTGAAGAAAACAGTCGCAGTGTCCGCCTTTGGAGTGACGCCGTACGTTCACGAAATCACGGGAGTTCCGGCAAATCCAAGTTTTGTTCCAGGTTTGCTTTGAATACTTGCCGTTTTTAGTCTGAAGGTGACATGATTTTGTATTGCCCCGTGTTTCACTTGTTTGCAATTGAAACACAGTTTTAGGTGGGTGGGGGGGTGTTAATAATTCAGAAGAAGTGCAGTTCTTGGCCAATTGGGTGGTTTGAGTTAACTTTATTTTGATATTTTCCTACCGAGAAACATTTCTTGTTACTTACCAAACTGGTGACTCCATACACTGATGGTGAGGTTTTGGAATCCTCCTTCTGAACATTGGATTACATATCGGCAGAAAGAGAAAACTTTATGTAACGCTCCTTTAAACGGTGCTATTCGATTTCATGTCGAAGCGAAAGCCCGAATCTGAAAAGCTCTAGTTGTTGAGTAAATTCGGCTTATGGACACTTGTATCTCTTATTTTTCAGGGATGTATTCGACATACAGTGACTACATGACATTTTGGGAACGCCTGAATAATTTCAAGTTCGATGTGGAGTTACATTATCGTTATCGTTACTGGGAACGAGAACTTTGGTCATATTTCAATGACTTCTATCCAGGATTTGCCGATTTTCGCGATTTGCTCAAGGTGGGTACCCTCAGAAGTTTCAACGAAGACATCCATTGCTGTGATGTTCTGTTTTTCAGCGGAAAGTTGGAGTAGTCTTGTTGAATATCAACGAATTCATAGAAACGCCTCGTCCAACATCGAACGTTATTCGGTACATTGGTGGAATCGCAGTTCATGCCCCGAAACCACTAGATAAGGTTAGGTCTTGTCTCTATAGCTCCGAAAGTCTCATAGGTGTGATTTCCGTTCCCGAACTTGCCTCTGTTCACCAACACGCTAAACCAAGACATAAATCAGTCTTTTGCAGTCACTTGAGTCAAAAACTCTGCTCTCAAGTTCATTTCTATCTTCAAGAGGGATCATTTACCCCTTTTGAACACTTTTAAGCCATACCGCCACGACATAACGTTGGGAATGAAGTTCTCGTAGTGCGACCCCTTCCCCTCCAAAAATAAAACCCACCGAGCAAGGAAGGGCAAGAATAGGACAGTCGCTATGAGGAATCCTCAAAGTCGAGAGATCATTAAATGATAAAGAATTAGGCTAGCGGTGAGACCAACCTAGTTCTTCATCACTCAATGCTGAGAGTCTAGTTCTATTAGGTTGGTGCATAAGTTCTTTCCCCGACTTTTTTGTAAATATCTCAATAGCGAACCAGCCTGAAGATTAGAGGTATGCACCATCACCATTCACTACTCGACGCCAGACGTGGTCTTGCACTGGTAACTGTGCGGCATTGTAGGCAGGGATAGCCGAGTGGTTAAGAGTGTAGACTCACGTTCACACCCTGAGCCACGAGTTCAATCCCTGCCGAGGCACAAACCTGCCTTGCAAAAATTGCAAAAATGGGGACGATACCAGGTTGACAGCCGGCTGATGGAGGAACCCGTCACAACAATCATGACAAGTCGCAATAGAATCAGTGTTAATGCTAGGACGTCACCCGGAAGTGGCGCGCAGAACCCTCGCCCGAGTTCTGT